TCAATTATCATAATTTAAAAATAAAAAATTTTAAATTATAGAAAAATCCATTCATATTTGAAATAATTTATTTTAATTCATGAATATTATCATTAATTTTAATTATATATAATATATAAGCACAAATTAATATAGTAATTTATGAATGAAATTTAGATATATAAAATCAGAATATTTCAAATAATCTATAATCAATATAGCTTATATTAATTCTTTTTTTTTTGGCTTCTTGACCAAATACCAATATATTTTTTCTAATAAAGATAATATCGAATAGAAATATTCGATCTCGTAAGATTCAACTAATTATATTTCAATTATATGAGAGCTATTATTTTCAGATTTTAATCTAATATATATATATATATATAGCTTCAAGATATTCTATATTTTTTATATACATTTAATCTAATCTCAATGCTAGAATATTCGTCGAGAATAATCTCGAATAGAAATTAATGCTGAAACCTTTTTGCCGGCTGCCATTGGTGAACCGTCTTATGCAGTTTCCAGCGTTGTGGCAGGTCAGGCTTGTGCCTCCGTCGCCAAATCCATCTGGAGGTTCACCTCGTGGCCAGGAAGCCAACCTACAAAAATCTATTCATTGAAACCAAGTAGCTGCACACGGGCCATGTTGCATCATTGTTTCTTATGATGATTGTATTGTATATTGAAGCAGAAAACAAACCAATCTATTCTTTCGAGCAGTGTAGGAGCCTCTGGTGATCAGGCACCTGCGAGTCGCTTCGCCTGCATTCCAAGGTGACTCAGCCATGAGAGAGACTCTGAAGCAATGAACCATGGAAATCTGCAGGTCTGACACTAGACCAGCGAGCCTTTATCTTTGCTTGCAGCTTGTCTAACATGAGCACGACCTGACACAAATCTAGTCCGTCCAAGATTGCTTTCACTGGCAGAAAAACCTTACACCTGAAGAACACCCTGCAAAACGCCGGCCTCCTGCCAACTTTGGCCCTGTTCTTCGGGCTTGCCGTCCCGTTCGACCATCTCATCTTGGTACGTCACCCCTCCCTGGGGATCTACCTGGCAGTTTCAATCAACCACTGACGCTCCCTATGACTGAGGGTGAAGCTCTGGTGTCCGGGAGTATGGTGGGTCAGATTCGCAGCGGCTTATGCGCATAGCCCAAGGCCGCAGCAGACAGCCAGAACGAAAAAACAAGGTCATGTTCCCGACTCCAGGACTCCATTTCTTTTGACAGCCAGAAGGCCAAGCGGGCTGCAAGGAACTAGAGCGCTACGGGATTTAGCTACAACCCTCCGAAGCATTCCGCACACGACTCTACAGAAGTGCAGCTTCCTCCTTACCTCGCCAGGGCCCCGCTCCCTCCCTCTAGAGCGTAGGGTCGTGGATCCCCCTTCGGTGAAAATGCTACATAAGGAGCCTGACAGATAGATCAAATAGTGTACTGTCGTAGGCGTTGCCAGAGGACCCCGGGGCCTGCAGCTTCGGTACACGCACCTTCTGCGCAGGCCTTGATTTCCAAATCATCTAGCGCGACCAGAGCAGCCATCATGCTCTGCGCAGGAGAAGAGGCGATCTTTCGCTGAGTGGCGAGCTCTGCTGTGGGAGGGGCGGTTGGGAAGGTGCTGGGCGGCTTAGGAGCTGCGGGCTCCTTGGCCTACCGTGACGCTGTGGGGCACTTGGAACTCTCCGTCGCAACTCCCAGCGCGGCTGAGCCAGGGACCCAGGTCGGAGGGCTAAACTGCTGAGGCTGGGCCGCCCTCCAGGGGATCAGGCACGGCGAATGCTTCAGCTGATGGGCTTACAGGTATCCGAAGACTTTGACCTGAAAAGTGTGAGTCGCTTGCGCAGGCATCGGCGGCGGCGATGGTGAGCTCGGCGGAAGAGGAGGAGGGTGTCGCACCTGTCTGATGCTTTCAAGTTTCGCACTCTGTGCACCCTCGAGGGGTTTGGTCACATGCAGACGGCATCTTCCCGGAGATCTTGCAGCTGTGCGCTAACTAACTTTAACTAACTGACTGACGCCTCACAGCTGCATGCTGGGCCAAGTGCAAAGAAAGGCAACTGGCCCTCTATCTCGACCTGGGCTGAACACGCACAACATGGCAGCGAGATGCGAGCTTTGCGGAGCCCGAGAGCCAGACTCGACCACCTTGCTGCTCCGCAAGCGCTTCGCCTGGGTTTCAGCACTCACAACTGGGACAAGCTTTAGGGGTTTAGGGGGAACGGTTCGATTGTTTTCTAATCCCAAGTCTTTTCGGTTTCCCTGCCTGCAGCTGAGCTGAGGCCGGAGCTTCCCTTGATCCCGATCAGAGCGTAGCCCTCCCTCTCTTTGCCACCAGGCACAGAAGCGCCGGCACCTGATTCTTTGACGGGATTTGGATCACAGCGGATGGGGCCATCGACCGCCAGAGGGCAACGCTCCAAAGTGCCGAGATTGCTCGGGCATCGAGATTTTCCATGCCTGAGTCCTGCCGTGTCTGAAACTGCACGTATGGCTTTCGCATGCACAAGTGGCGACATTGCACAAGGCCGGCAAGAGACAAGCGTTTCTGTTATACCGAATCTTTGAGCTTTGCCCGTTGATGGCTTTCCAGTGTCTGTGCCAGTGGCAGGCTCAGTGTTTGTAAAATTGACAGCTCCCATAATGACCCAAGTCTGCAGGGAAAGGGTAGAATAAGGCCACGCACCTCCCAAACGCTGATGCCAAAGGCCGGTTGGACATCGATGCCGACAAGAATCCTTGAGATTCTTGCTACGCCTGTACACCCTAGCTTCGGCCATTCAGGACATGTCCAATTGCCTTCAACTGGCTCTGTCCTCTGCACCATCTTAAATTCTGGACTTTGCGGTGGCAAGCAATATCCCAGTCTGAGTTTACTTCATCGACACGCTATCCTTTTTGTCCACATTCATGGGATGAAGCCCCCGGGACATGTGCCATGTGCCCTCAGGCTTTGCGAACAACAGAGGTTGCTGCCAAGATCAAGCCGCCCACGCCTGACCTGTGAACATCTACGTATTGTCTTTTACTCGCGACCTTGCCCCGCATGCTCTTGCGAAAAGCTCGCTCGGGCCGCGGCGTGCACCCGTGAAGCGTCGCAATGCAGACAAGCTCCATGCTCGGCTGCTTTTGGTTGGCTTCTCTGCCTCCTGCTTCCTGGCTGCCTTGAAGGGTCATGATACGAAGCTCAGATCGTTGCCTTTCTACCGAATGGTATTTTGAATCCTCATCTCAACCGCAGCTTGAAAGAGGCCTGGATCGCCCACTCCTTCTCTATCGCTGCATTTCGCTCAGCAAGCATCTTTCGCTGATGTTTGAGGCGTTCGAGCAGCTCGCACCTCAGGCTGAACGTGTCCCTGCCCTTGCAGTATTCGCTTCCTCACTTCGACCCGATGTGCCTTAATTTCGAAGGCACGCCCGACTGCAAGGCCAGGAAGACCTGTATGGAGGCATGCTTGCAGACGACGTTTCTAAGAGATGCCGAAGCATTGAGCATAGGCCGGCCTCTGGATGCCGGCGGATGCTCCTTCCATCATGACTCATGACTCACAGACAAACGGTAAACTGCCGTGTGTATAGTCTTCACAAGCCTTTGTTCAGCCAAGGCTCGGCACCTGATCCGATTCTACTTTGTGCCCCAGCTCGTCCACCAAGTCGAAAATCCTGCACACTCTTTTTCTTGACACTCACACTCGGACAAGCCTGGCAAGGTCTGCAGCGATACTGATTCAACGACTCGTTAACTCCCACTCAGCAGATTCACTGAGCAGGCATGGCTATCAGAGCAGGCTACGAACACAAACACACCACAACTGAGCGACAGTAGGCAAAGCCTGTCTGACAGCAGTTCCCCCAAACAAGAGCACCCAGGCCTAGAACCAAACACACAAGCAAGACCTAGCTTGGCTCTGTGAGGGACCCATGAAACCAACTCCAACATACTCCAACTCAACTCTCAACCCAGCTTCAAGGTACACTCACCTCCTGTGTACAGCATGCAGGGGTCTGGACGTTGTTCCGAAATTATCTCTCCTCACTCGTCTCGATCCCGCTGCCTTTCTTGTGCGCGCATCGCCCGATTCAGCAAGCCTGGCTATTCCCTCGGATCGTGCGAACCGAATGATCTAGCCTAACTTGAACGCCTGCAATGCCCCTGTCCTCCGCTCTCGCATCGCTTCAGAATGTGCTTCCTGATCGTTTGCCAGCAGCCTTGTGCAAGTTTGCGCTTTCCACAGGGTCATCATCAGCGTTTTACAGCCTTTGAAAAATAGTCTAGATTATCACAGCATGATGTGGTCCAGTGCTTGCTGCGTGCAGCAGAATGACATATTTGACTGGGGAGAATGAGGTTGTATCTTGGAGGCAATTTAACCAAAGCACGAGACTCGCTTCTTCGCCTTTTTCGGTGAGGATTTGGCACAAGAATCATCCCAGGTCAGGGGGTTCCACGACAGCCACTTGGCATCACCAGTCCTTGCTGTCACTGAGCCATTGCCCCCGGTTCCAGTTTCTGCAGCGGTGAAAACTGACATGCCTTGCCTATGCCCTAACGTGCTTGTAAGAAGCCAATTGGTGGAACACCATTCAGCTGTGTGTCGGGATGTATGGCTGACCATGGAGCTTGCAGCAAACCTCATGCAGCTTCTCCAGCGGCACCTTGGCTCAGAGGCGTGTTTTGTTGCTCGGCTTTGTGGCGTGTTTTGTTGGGTGACTTTCACAACTGCCCGATCTCAAAGAGACGGATCCGAACAATGCTCGCAGGAATAGGCGATTCTGATGCAGCTTCTGAGATACCTTCAGGGCTCCTAAGGTCTCAAGCACCAAAGTGCAATGCTTCTCGCGTTAGTACGCCTCTTTATGTGCCAAGCAGTACGTTCCGACGTCTGGATGCACAAAGCTCACACAGAAGGAGCTTCCGAAATCCTTCTACTTCCGCGTGCCGGATGCATCTGAGGCTCCCGTACTTGTTGGGAAGGTTGCCGATGTTGTCTCTCGTACGCGCCTCTCTCGTAAGCCTTCATCAAATTGTCATTCATGAACAACTTTTTGACCTCAATGTTACAAGCTCTTCTATCTTGCAGTGTCGCTTGCTTGTGACGCTAAAAGCATCGCGCCAATTCTGGAACGGCACTGAGATCGCACCGAAACGATCTAGTTCCTCTTCAAAGAACTTGTCATTACCTGTGGTGATTTCACGACTCGGCCCACTGATGCAAACACACCATGCTACAGTCTATGCAGTGCAGCATGTCTCGCACGGCTGCATTTCGCCATGCCAAGGTGCTAAGCCGTTGTACAGGAATTCTCACGTCTTGCACAGCATTCCTGAACATGCAAGAGTAGCGGAACATGAATACGAGCTGTTGACGACGGCCTCACTTATATACCTCACCGAGCACAGGTCAACGGACTTTCTGAGGCGACTGCCATTCTTGTTCAAGCTCAGGCTCTACCTGCTGCATCTGGTGGTCTTGAGCTGCTGCCAGAGCTGTAGCGGTTACTTCAGTTCCCGACATCTTCTTTGGGCTTGATCTTGCTAGGTCCTTGCCTTGATGGGGTTGCTGATGGCATATGCGTTGAACATCGCGTTCTCACAGGCGCTGGCACATCGGGACTGTCGCCACGCTGCTCTGGCAAGCACGGACGGTGAACTTCAGTAGACTCCACACGGAGCTGCGGAGGAGCTTAACAAATGTTGGAGGACGATCCCAGCTTTGGTGCCTCACACATGGTATGGTATGTACTACTCTCCACCCGACCAGCAGCTTTGGAAGCGCGAAAACAAGCCTCTTCCCGGAGCGGATGCAAAAATGATGCTGCTGAACCACCAGAATTCGCTCGCAAACTCCTTGCATGCAACCAGGATCACGCGGCCATCCGGCAAGCTGTTGATGTCAGCGGCCTCTGCAAAAGCTCTGTGTCTCTTCGTGGCTGCTTCTGGCGGAGCTGGGGTTGCGCGATGCTTTGCTCATGACATGTCACCGTGACTCCTAGGGTCCTAGAGTTGAGAAGGAATAGTTGCCCAGTGCAGAGCAGTTTTTGCTGATGGGTTGTAATGAGTACTGGGAATCTTGGATGCTTCGCTGAGAGCTTGACAAGGCGAGTGTTCTCTGTCTGCGGATCCGCCCAGACATCGTATGTCTTGCGAGACATGACCTGTTGCACCGAGCAGGTGGCCATGTGAGCCGTCAGGGAGATTTGCTACCTGCTGAGTGTCTGGGTCGATGGTCACCACGTTAAGGCCACGTCGGCCGGCCTAGCTGTCGCGGCGTTGCACATTAGTCAGGCCCCTTTAAATTCCGCGCTGGCGGGCCTCCCCACGGATGTCAATTTTGCGACCGTTCAAAAAGAAGTCGGCAACGTTGCCGTCACCCCACCCAGCCTGATCGCTGCAAGGAGAATTCTTTCTTCGCACTCCCAGGGAGAAGAACGTAGTTAAGAGCCGTGCGCTGACGACTTTCGCAGCTGTGGAGGTGACCTCTGGCTGCGGCAGCTTTTTTTTTTCGCCTACGCTTCAACTGCATGTCGCTCTCATTTTGCGCAACAACTTCCAAACCGGATGTGGAGTCCAAAGGTTCACGAAAAGGGTTCAGGATGGAAGGACCGTGTGCGAATCTCGCAACTCTCTCTTTCGACTCGTGCGGCATTTTCTTGCCCAGGGTGGGGGAGAGCAGGTTGATGGGCTGTTCCGGCAGCCAAGAATGGATCGGGATGGGCTCTTTCCTTGTCATGTCCCAGTGCTTGTGTCTTCTAGCATGTTTATCCATGGCTTTGGGCTCTGAAGCACGCCAGGGGGCTACAAGATGATGAGACTCGGCTAGCCTCTCTCGCTGGAGCTCGACACCACACAGGCGGGTCTACTGGGCCTAGACTCTGCAACTGAAGCTGATTGCACAGCGAAGCGCCAGCCTCTCCAGCATGTAAACATGTCCAACACACGACACGTGCAGCTGCCGCAAATCGACTTCTTGGTGAACATGCCGCAATGCACAACTTGGCCGTCGCGCAGGCTCCGCAACCGTCGCTGTAGACCTTCTCTCTGCGTATCAGACCGTGTTTCAAGTCCCAAGCTCGTCTGCAGAGCGATCTTGTTGCTTCGTGGGGTTTCAACCGAAGCTGAGGCTTGGTCGCAACTGGTGGGGTCGGTGCCGCCGCTTTGCTGACAGCTTGAGCTGGGGGCCTCAGTCGATGCTCTATGCGAATATCCAAATCAAACTCGCTGCGACTGAGTCCAAAGCGCTGGTGCTGGAGGTGCTACAGGTGGTGCTGTTGGAGGTGCTACAGGTGGCGGGGTAGGCGCCCTTAATGCACAAGTGGCGCGGAAGCCGTGCTTCCACCCTCAGCGTACCCCTACGCTACACTTTTGCACTTTGCAGATGGTCCTCAGGCACCTACACTGCTGGCGGTGCTGGTGCTGGGCTGACTGCAGCCGCTGGCCTGAGGTGCCCAGCGCAGGCAGGCGAGATGAAAGGTTGGCTACTTGCCGGCTTCTTCCGTCACGCGTGAGCCTTTTTCAATCGAACGTTTGCTCCCAGGTCTCAGAACTCGCCGTGCTTGGGCAAGCTGTCAAAGGCAGCTTTGTTAGCGGCCTTTACCTCATTTCTCAAGAGCTCTGCGGCTGAAAGCACTCTGAAAAAGCCAAGCTGCAGCAGCCTCGTGTGCTGCCAAGTGGGACGCCATGGCTCCAAATTCTGCAGCCTGGCCGTGAACGTCCAGGGGCAGTGGCCCGGCCCCGGGCTGCCTGTCTCTCAATGTCTTCTTGAACTGAGACGGAGACCATGCTGTATTCATTCTGGGAAGCTGGCTGATGCGAGGTGTGCGTATGTCTCGTCGTGACGGTCTTTCTAGTAGTTCCTTTGCCGTCCTTGTCGGTGCTGCTCCACATGCAAGCAAAAACACGAAAGCCAACAACAGTCCACACATTTTTTGCTTACAGACAGTAGCGGTTTGATGCAGCAGGGCAGCATTCTCCACTGTCTGGGTGGATTCCAGATGTTCCATCCCATCTGCGGATGATGTCTTCACGTCGAAATTTCCGGCCGCGTCCTTGCCCAAAGAAGCTCGGATTGCCTCTGCATGGCGTCTCCACTCATCCGGGCTTCCGTGGTGGTAGGATCTGGCCAGGTGCTCGATGAGGTCTCGATACTCTGCAGATGCATCGCCGAACACATCCTTGAAGATTTTGGCTGCCTGCTCCATGGAGAAATCCCGCCGATTTCTCGCATCTTCTCGGTCATGGCCTTCTCTGATGATGGCTATGCTAGAAACAACCGAGACTGGTACTGCTACGAAAAAGCCAAACCGGATTCAGCAAACCGCGGCTTTGAGGGCTTGGTGCTCGGAGTGCCTTTCTGCAAATATCACGAGTGGCTACTCAGCAGAGCATTCCCGAATGTCAGTTTTGATGTGAGCTTACTATAGCTGCCCAACTCTTCCCATGCACCCTGGCTCATCACTCGCAGACCGTCCAGTGACTAACTTCGAATGGTGACCAAGGAGGAAGAACATGCTCCAAGATCTCCTAAAAACCAGTCCTATTTACGAAAAGTTCCCATCATTTTGCCGACCGCACTGTTCGTAGAGCATTGATGCTTCCATCGTTTGCCCTTGCTTGGTCTTATAGCTTCAATTTCATCTGGGAGGCTTGGCTGGCCAGGCTGCGGGTGAGGGCGCGGGTCGTCAAAAGCACGCCGCCGCCCGGCATCGCTGAGCACTTCGTAAGCCCAAGCGATCTGAATGAAGCGCTGCTCGGCCTCCTCTTGACTTCCGAAGCTGCAGAAAGGGGATGTTTCTTCCGCACTGGGTTGAGTCGAAGGCGGATGGGATCACAAGTATTGCCTATGGGCTGTTCAACAGGAGAGCCACGCTGGGTTCTCTTGCAAACCCTGGCCACCTCTCTCTGGGCTTCGGGAACTTTGTCCGGATGCCACTTCAGCGCTGCTTTGCGGTAGGCCTGTTTCAATCCTCGGCCCGAGCTCTCCACTCCTCTGCTAATCCTGCTTCCCTCCCTTCCTCAGCAAACTCCGGTTGATCAACCAGTGCCGCACTCCCCTCAAACCCTAGAAACCTGAAGCCCTAGCCCTACCGGCCCTACCTTTTTTTGCAACCCTTTGCACCCTAAACCCAAACCTCCTTGGGCAAAGCCCTCCATAAGCCAGCCGAGCAGCCTGCGAGCTGCCCACGCGGAAGCCCAAGGATCTCGTAGGGATCCTGGGCCCAGGCTCAGGTTCAATATTTGTACGATTCTGTGTCTGTTTGGAACCTATCACATGTTACGATATCATAAAAAATAAAGAACATAATGCACCGCATTATTTGCTGCACGGTTTCATATCTGTTCACGAAGTGGAAGTATTTGTGTCTCCCGTCAGAGTCTGGCTAGGCTCGGACTACATGTTTCGTTTGAGAAGCAATGTCACTGTGACTGTTGAATTCATCTCACTGGGCAGCAAGTAAAACAACACTTCTACTGTAGTTGTTGTCCGTATCTGCAGGTTGTGGGCCGTCCACGGATCCCCAAGTAGGTGCCGAAGCTGCTCATGTTGTCAATCACCGATCAGCGGTTCACTGACGCCCATCCACGGAAGGTACAACTTCAGAAGGCCCGCCTTCCTGACAACTCCTCGTGGACGACTCTGAGGGCGCGTCGATCACAGGATGCCCCCTCAAAACCTCCACCTGCATAAGCCTGCCACCTCGTTCATTCAAACAGAAATTCCCCCTGACGTAGAAGATCGCATACTAACGAGTAGTATACGATAGTATATGCAAATGAAAACATGAGGCTCAGGTGCTAGAGGCCAGGAATTTATCAGAGCAAACATGGCGCCTCAGGATCTTCGCGCAAGCTTTCGGGCTCTAGAGTCGCATAGTCGGAGCCCAGCCACTGCGCCCTCTGGTTGCCAGGAGCACACCACAAGCGTCGAAAGAGAGAATAGAAGAAGCCGGAGGCCTACTCCATGGTGCGGAATCATTGCCACTCGCAGGAGTCGGATGCTTGTGCTAGCTGCTAATGTCGACTTGTCTGGAGGGAACAGTCATACTTGGCTTCTTCTGCCTGGTTTGTGGAGTCAGCAAGAAAGGCTAGCTTCTGGTAGAGCCTTGAAGTTGCCAAACTCGTCATAGCTCATGCAAAGTCGTTACGCAGAGAACTCAACTTCACTGCATCTCAGGCTGCCGCTGGCGCGCAGCTTTGCCAGCTTGAGCTCCTTTCCTTTGTTGGAGCGACCTGATCATGTTCCGAAACTTCACTTCGACTTCGTGACTCTCACGTACCTGTTTCATTCTCAGGCGGGAGCTCACGGAGCAGCCGAATTTCCTGTGGCTTCCGAACTCTGGAACATACATGTGCAGTCATGCAAGGTCATGTTTTCGCTTCGGGTAGACAAGCCAGCCCTCACAAACCCCTTCGCACTCTTCGACAACTCTCTCACGTACACCAACTTGCCCTGTCTTCGAACTTGCGAACCCACTCGTCATAGCACTATCCTTGGAGCCACTTCCGCATCGAACGCTGCATCAATATACGGGTTGGCTCCTTCACGAGCTCCTGCGTCTGCTGTCGCAAAAGCCGCGTCCTGACGGCTCAGCTGATTGTAAGCGTCGAACTCACCATGACTTAGCGGTGCTTAGCAGCAAGAAAAGCTACCGTGTGCTATGGTGGCCCTGACTGAGCAACCGGCTCTGCTGCTAGCGAGGATGTCTCTTGACTTGAAGGCGGCACCTAGCGACGAACGACAAACGGCACCCCAAACCGTAAACCTGAACGTCTGAAGGCACATGGCATTTCAATTCAATGCGATTGGCGTGGACGTTTGCAGCTTGGCCACTCTGCCAAGGACCTCCTCCATGGCTGTCCGCTCCTTTCAACAATCGACTGGACAGCTTGCTGCCCTACTGGCCACAGCGCCAGCGGATTTGGGGATTCTCTGAAGGCTTTTTGGCACAAGTCCTGGGACTTTAGACTCTCGCAGCTCGGATTCTCCAGAATGAAAGATCTGGTTTGTCGCGTACTTGCCGGTCATCAGTCATCAGAAGTCTTGGTCGTGCTGTCGGGGGCGCAGGCTGGTTCTTTACGGCTGTTGTCATCTTTCCATGTGGAGAGCAGCGGGTCTCCAAGCAAAAGCGGCAACCTGAGCCCGAAACCCCAAGAGCCCTTCTTTTGGCCTTTTTATTGCCTCCTACTTAGCTTTTGGCCTTTCAATGCTGAGGGTTTCCTAGCTAAATCGTCCGACCTGGTCCGCTGTCCACTCTTCACCGGGCCCAGCCTGAAAAGCTGCTCACACAGGTCCTACTACACCTAGCAGAGTATGCTTGGAGAGGTCATCTGACAAGCACATCCGCAACATCTTGCAGGCTCTGGACACTCTAGTCGTTGAAGGTAAGCAGAAGCACACGTGCTTTCATGCATACTCTCACGGGCTGTGTGTGTTCATCTCCTTTCAATCCTTTGGCTTCTGCAAGCTGCTTCATGACAGCCGAGCTCCAGGCAGGTGAGTATGTGGCAAGCGCTCCTGTCTTATCCCGCCGGCGATTCTGCAGAGCTAAAGACCTGCAATGGCACAAAACGAACGTCTTACAAAGGGGGTTCCGTCCAAGCCCAACTTGGGCAACTGCCCGCCCGTCAGGGATACCTCGCACAGGAATGTGATCGAAAGCAACAGTTCTGGCGACAGCGTCTTGCCAAGCCTGTCTGTCTTGTAGATGCAGAAAGCGCACGCTAGATGGCAAGCTCCATGAAGCTACAGCGCCTCGGAACAAAGGAGAGCGGAACAAGCCAAAGAAAAAGGCTCCTTCGAAGCGCCCGGCATGCAAAAATCAAGGGTAATCTCCGGCTCGATCTCCCCCTCGTGCCTGATGCATCTTTCAAGCTCTGCAAAAGCAGCCTCTGGTGGCTAGGGCAGCAGCCTGTGAAGCTTCTATGTCCTTCAGACATAGCCCAAGGCTGCCCTAACAAAACCACAAAACTGTACTGCTCAGAGCCATGCAATGGCTTGCCCCGGAACAGCATGCACGGTCTAAGAGACTATTATAGCAAACTGCACTGCAAAACACTTTGGCGGTTTGATCTAGCGCTGCGCATATTTCAACGTGGTGGTTTTGAGGCAGTGCGCATCTTGCACACCACATCGTACTGTGCATTAACATGGCCCATGGCATTGCAGCACTCGTCCATTTGTGGGTTTAGTTTGCAGCTTGTTGTATGGCTTGTATATCACTATTCTGCGTGCTGTCCATGCAGGCCCGACTGTCAGATTGCCGGCATTCTTTGCCGGCAGTTCAGCTCCAGGCGGCGACTTGCGGTGACGCAAAGCCGCGGTCGGCTGCAAAGCCAGCTCAAGAGATCGCAAACTCCTTATTTGCAGTCTTTGACGGAGTGCGGACAAACTGCTGCGTACCGTTTTTGGATCCACCTTCAGCTGCAGTCGAGCATCCCGGATTACTGTCTCGAGCTCTGTGACGATGTGTGTCATCGCAGGACGCTGATCCGGCTGGGCCTGCAATCTTGCTGAGGTTGCTTGGGTCCTAGAAGAGGTTGCCAGAAGATGCTCCGAGGCTCAGACGGACAGCGCAGACCGCAGCAAATTCCTCCAGTCGAGTTTCAAGAATCAGGCTCCTTAGGCATTCCGACATTCCAGCCAAGTCACTTCAAAGACTTTGGCCAGCTGTGCGGGACGCCGAGGCCAGCAAACTCCTGAGTCTCACAGCAAAAACCCACGGCAAGCTGGTGGCATGCAGACGATCTACGAAGACTTACCGATAGTCTGACCTTGGTCTGCACGCGGTGCGCGATGTCAGGCGCATCAAGGTTGGCATGCGGAATTTCAGCAGCCGCAACCTCGCAAAGAAGTCGAATGTGGCGGGTCCAGAGGACATCTGCACACAGCCTCCCAGACCATGGTCCCAAAAGCGAAAACATCGACCTCGAAGCAGGCCAAGTGAATGCGAAGCCGACGCAAGACATCGAGACTATGCTTCCGGCAGTCTCGTCATACTTACGCTTCGCAAAGAGCTCCGGTGCCTCAAGAACACGCTTGGCTTTCGGGCTTCTTCCTTGCCTGAAAATCGTTGAGACGATGGCCATGTACGGAGCAGTGCCAGCCCATTGCATTGACCCAGTGCCTGGAGGTCAAGGTGAAGAACCCAACAAAGCCAAACTCAAAGATGCAAACTGCGTGACCCTGCCGCATCATCGAGGTGCCCCGTCCCGTTCTTGTTAAGCCAAAGTAATCCCGGCTTTTATCTACCCTTCCATAACAACAGAGATCCTGATGCTGTCGATGAGTCCGCTCTAGAGAAGTTCCGCACTTGCACAAACCATCCCCATGTGCGCACCCAGCGCTGTCAAGTGATAGTATGAAGTATTACAGGTATCGTATCCATCTCATCATATCCTACACTATACTGAGTTCTTGGACCAAGCCCAAGGGGCCCAGTAAGGCTTTGTAACAAGGCGGCTGTGCTTCCCCTCATGAGGCCGATGCAGAGCTCCGAGCGCATCCGTGCCAGCCCGAAGTCGCAAAGCTTGGCTATGGGCCTGGCGCTGTGAAGTATAGATTGATATATGTCTCTATATATATATATGTATATATATGTATATATATATATGTATTGATATGTTTCACTTTGAAGGTTTGCCTCCCGCATTGATAGCGACTTGCGCAGGTTTCGCATCAAGCCGTGCATTCCCTGTACGACGACGGATTACTCGGAATACGACTAGTGACTAGCAGCAGGTAGCAGTAGCTGTAGCAGCGGTCCTAGTGTCGTAGTGCTAGTAGCACTACCAGGAGCAGAAGCCCGAGGACATAGCAACAGTAGACGTCGTGGAAGCAACTGCGAAGACTGTTACATGGGAGCGCGAGTTTGAAAGATATGCTGCAGTTCTCTCCCTCAATGGCTTCCAGGGTTTGAAGTCCATGCTTTCGAGCTGTGAAGTTCGGGCTCTTCAAGGCTTCAGGCTCAGGCCGCTACCCCCGGTATTTTTTGTTTGGCATTGCTGCCTTCTGGAACCAGTCTCTTGAAGGATCCTTGATCGCTGCACCCTTGAATGTTTGCACATTTTTTTGACTTTGTTTCGGCGGCACTAAAGCCTAGTATATAACCAATCCAACTATATACTGCAACTTGACTGCCTAAACGAACATGCCCACCCAGTACTGCATGAATGTTATCACGAAAATGCCCTCTAGACTCTAGACTGTAGAAGCCATGCGACTGCAATGTCCTCAGCTGAAGCCCCAAAATACTTGTTCCACTCCGAAAACTAGGGTATGCCACTGGCTGGGGAGACAGCTGAAGATGCACTCGCTGCTTGCGTTCGGTGGCCGGCCCCGCCTGTTGCCTTCGGTCAGCAGCACGTTCTGAGACCTCGAGGCGGTTGGTGTGGCAAAGCTTCTCATCCAACTTGCAACGGCACAAAACGCTCTCTGTCCTGTCTGTGAACGTAAAGCTGTGCTCTCGGGTGGTCTTGACACAGCCCAAGGGATGCCATGCCTTGAGGTGCATGCCGGCCCCCAAAACAGTTTTACATAAAGGCTCGCGACTCATGCACGAGCCACGCCGGGGCGAAGCTTCAGAACCAGATTAAAGCAGCTGGAAACGCCAACTGGCACCTGGGGTCTGGGCTTTATGTCCCTGTGGACAACCTCGACAACCAGACTGGAGTTTAGAAAAGCTCTGTTCGATCGCTGTGCAAAAGCAACCAAGCCGGAGACCATCATAGCATGCAGGTAGGCGAGTGCAACTCCAGCCTTCAGCCCAGCAAGGCTTTAGGCTGCACTTCCGGGATGGATCGCGAAGTCGTGCGAAGCCGGCGCCCTCTCCCAAAATCCCGGTCCCTGCCTGGCGCACGACAGGCAACCTCAAACGGCACGAGTCAAGGCGGTGCTCGATCTTTCTTGCAGTCGAGCAGCAGAGTTGCTGGGTCGGCCTCGAGGGAACCTCGAGGCCTGGGCCTCAGACACTGAGCTCCGAAGAAGAAAAGGCAACTTGGAGCTTCCTTTGAGCTCCTTGCGCCGTGCCATGAAGGATCTCAAACAAAGAGCCTCCGAAAACCTCGCAGGCTGCCCATGGCCGATTCGTCGGACACGACCCGCCGACCAGGGCATCGGACAAACTCGGTAAGGATGCTCAGCGCCGGAGGTGTCCTGCAGACTGCCATCAGTGTCACGACCTGAGCTTGGCGAGGCAGTCGACGGCAGTCAAAGCGCATGTTTTCCGCGGACTGCTGCCGTGATGTGCCGCGTGAAGCAATTTCCCTTTATGAGGTCGAGTCATTGGGGTGTCGCAATCGCCTCAGCATCTGAACCTCACCGAGTTTAGGGCGACAAGTTGCAAGGTGGTCGAAGCGGACTCTGCATAATGACAAAACATTCAAGGCTTGCGTGTGCGTCCTCAGAACATACCACACAACAACTGTAGATTTGCTGCGGTCACAGACCTCGTTCTCAAACTCGGCTTTGAGCTCCTCCTGGAGAGGCAGCAGGATCGCTAAATTCAACAGTCTCAGACATGCTAGCTAGGAAAGTAAAGTTTGCATATGTTGACCTTGCATGCAGACCCAGTACCCGATGAATCAGGACTGAATTTCGACGAGGTGCTGTGAGAACTGGATCGAAGATTTTCTTCAAAGCACATGGTGTGCACATCCAAGTTGCGTGATGCCTGAGATGCACTACCCACAGACATTCAAACCGCAGCCCGGGGGGTGGCTTGGAGCATGGACAGTGGAAGCACGAACAGGCCTCAGCTGAGGTAGACGGGCTAAGCTCTGTGCACTGAGGAGAAACCGCCTTGAGCGATCATGTTGCCCACCGCCACCTGCAGAGAAGCTCGACCCTAGGCACATCATGTCTCGGCCCTTGGTTTCTAAAATGCCTCTTCCAAGGCGAACTTTGGCAACCCATCGTCGTGGGCCTGGCATCATACACCAGATTCTGCAAACGTCTGAAGGTTTGGGCGTCAGCATGCTCTACGCCAGCCTGACATGTTACGGCAGAGCCGAAGCGAACCGATTTGCTGGCGGTCGACACGTCTCAAAGCTCGGCTCGGCATCGGGCAGAGAACATCTCGGACTCTTGGAGGCGCTGAGAAAGCCGTTGAACCTCCTGTGACGTCAGAGGTGGGCTGGAGATGCCAGCCATGGCCATGGCAAGCTCTGCAAAGAGCTCTTGATCAAGTGGCTCCCGATGTGTGCAGGATTCCGAAGCTCCTGCTGGAGACGCTTGATTTTTCGTGGGTCCTCGCTTCTCCTGCAGCCAGCCCAACATGGTGCCCGAATTCGACTGGGCTGGCGTCAGTAATCTGAGTCTCCGTCACAGCATCCCCTTCCGAAGCAGCGCCCGGGCTTTCACCAGGTCTCGCCTCAGCGGGACACGCCAGTTACGCTGCATCACTTGCGCACGATGAACCCCGAGAAAGGCAGCACCAGGCCCAACGAAAAGAGGCACGAGGCGGGTGCACAGTCACACTTTTTGGAAGCTAAGCTCCAACTTGCACAGCTACGGCGACTCCTCTAGGAGGTCAGCACATGCTGCGTTCGGCATGTTGTTCTAGGCATGTCGTCACCAGGGGTCTGGATATGCTACGGCGGTCTCAGGCGCATTTGCCACACTAGTACAAGCTCACCTTGGTGCTGGTCGACCAGAACTCACTCCGGTCAAACGTTCCCTTCAATCTCTCAGGCTCGGGCTTACATTTCTCGAAAAGACCCGAAAGAGCCGAGCAGCTTTTTTCTGTTTGGGCTCGGGGAGCTGCTGCATGACCTGCATGTGGTCAAGGACGGCCATGCCCTTTTCGACGTCGCCGGCCAATGCTGTTTGCGGATCCTCGCGCAGGATACTTTCGATTTCATGTCATCCGAGTTTGTCTGCTATTCTAGGGGGCTCTGTGATCGCATGAAGCCTAAGTCGCTGAGCTACGATCTACTCAGCACACGAAACGGCAATTCAATTCATTTGGCTTTGCCCATTCCCACCTGGAGATCTTTTGCTAAAAGCCTGCCGTCTTCCATTGACACTGCAGTGAACGCAACCGTGTCGCCAGGTTGAAATTCACCTCTCTGAGAATGATGTATAAACACGTCTCCTGGGTATCCTTGCACCCGCAGCTGGTCACAGCTGATAAATCCGAAGCCACGCTCGAAATTGAAACACTTGAACTCTCCGATGAAAATTCCCAGCTCTTCGGGGAGACCTCCGGCAGACCCCACCTGACCGGTCGCATCTTGGACTTCGCGTCCTTGCAACTTCCCGTTGTACAAATACGCCTCGAACTTCACCTCAGAACCCACTTGGAAACCTGCACAGCCATCTCCGTGAACGTAGACGTCGCTGTAGTAGTAATCCTTCAGAGGCTTGCACATGATGAAGCCGAAGCCCTTCTGTGCATCATAGGCCTTCACAAAGCCAAAATACTCACCTAGCTCCTCTACATTGCCTTTGGCCAGATTCGCCGCCGCAGCGTCCATGCCCTTGGCATCCATGGGGGCTCCGGGGGCATCTTTGGCCGGACCCGAAAACTCCTCCATCCTGACGGTTCCCCCCTTGGTGCTGTAGACCCTCCTCGGCACCACGACACCTGCGCCTGCTGCGGGGATCGAGCTGGCATTGGCACTCGCATTGGCCGTTGCCATCATGGGACTCGCGGCTGTCGCGGCTGTCGAGGTGATCATCCCAGGCTCTCCCATGGATCTGGACATGAAGCTTGGAGGAGTAGGCGGGTCGGTCTGCAAGTCGATTGCTTGGGGCTCGGACGAATCATTAAGCGTTACAGCAAAGCTGACACACTGGCCCTCTCTAAAGCCGGCTATGTGCTCAGGTGCCACACATACATCGCATTCAAAAACTTGCCGAAGTTCGGGACAACGAATGAAACTCATGTCATTTTTGCTAACTGTCAACACGACGCCATTACATCTCCTTTGCGTCACGGCTTTGGCTGGTGCATATGTTAGCTCTGGGCAAGCGAAGGTCACAAGGCCAGGTGCCAGCTCCGGCTTGCTCTGCATCAGCTCGCCGATAATGAAATGCAGCGTGTCGTCGTCCAGCGACACCAAAAGGTCAAGCACCATTTTAGAATCCATGCTGTCGGCAGATCGTCTGCCTATCTAGGCTACAGGAAATTCTTGAGCCAACTGGCTCGCGAAGCGAGACAGTCGCATGCTTCTTGGCTTCCATATCCGGTGCTGCGGCGGAGAGCTGAGGCTGACTTCAAGCGAGCGGCACGGCGTGCCCCGCGAGGTGGATCTGGATCTATCCTTGGTGGCAACTGGCTAAGCCCCACCAGAGAGGCCCTAAGGAAGCGCAGGAGTCACGGTGCTCGGAGCCAGGCGACCCTGAGCTCGGAAGAGCCTCAAAGTGCAGTGCATCCACACTCGAGGAACAAAAACATGCCTCTGTGGAAGTGGAAGCAACATGCCTCAGCTTCCTCGTTTCAGGTCGACAGCCCTGTGAGGCCAGGGAGGTGAGGCTGCGGCATCTTTGTTCCGTGCACTTTTGCCGTCATGTTGCAGCCTGGCCAAGCGACGAGCTCAAGGGCTCATGCTCCCCCAGCACCGAGCTGGTGCCACGTTTGGAGTTTCAGCACTATCAGGTTGCGGCCACAACGGCTTTGAATCTTTCGGTGGGGCAGCCGGCGAGATAACCTTCGAAAAGCAGCAAAGAAGGCTAACTGCAAGCAGCAGTTGTCGGAATTCAAGGCTCCCGCGCCCTGAGTGGAGCTATCGCCTGTCCCTGGGCGATGGTCCTCCCCAACTGATACTTTCCCACGCCTTCAGTCGGATGTGCGTGTCTACAAACCTTCTAAGTTTCATCGCCAACAGTGTCAACATGCGAGTCGCCGGCACAACCCGCCGTCCCGTGCTTGGAGCACTCCCCATGCTCCTGCTGAAAAGATTTCGAGGCAGCTTTCCTTTAACTGCATAGAAAAACCGGCTGGACGGTCGTCCCGATCTGTATTCGATCTTGAGCGACTGGCATTGCTTCTGCTTCTGAGTCTCGTCACAGGCTCAACAAACGGGCACAGCTGTAAAATGAACAGCTGTCCTGACAGCAAGCATTCACTGCACCTGACTATGAGCAGCCGGACTTTGCTTCCCGGCCATCTCTGTTGGTGAAAACAGGCCAAAAGATCGAAAGATCGTACAACAAAACCAGCAATGCTGGTGACGTTCGCCCAGCTGGTTCTGGATTTGCGACGCAGCCTCCAGCCTCCAGTGCCCCCTTGATGCTGATTGTGGTAAAGAACCCAAATACCCGTGTGTGAAGGCCCCGCTCCTTCCGTTGTCCAGCTGGTCGTCCTGGACACGGCTTGCATTGTTTACTAATGTAGGAACCTGATGAAGAAACCCTGGCCTTATATGATAACCCAAATATGTTAGGATTCAATGCAAAAACAGAACGCTAATAAAGACCCAGGGTTTCCTAATCAGATTCCTATATTACACCAGGTGGTGCATCATTCCGGCTGGGTCCCGGTCCAAGCTCGTAAGAACAGGAAGACCGTCCGCAACGATGAGTGCACCTGAGCCTGCCCATGCTGCTCAAGAGCCACAACACGCCGCCGACCTTTGACCCGCTGTCTCAAAACTGGCTGGGAGGCCTGTGCGACTGACCCGCGGATCCTCACGGGGCTAGGGAGGCCGTTAATTCAAGCCCAAGCGTGCACGTCTGGCTCGGCTTGGCCTTGTCGGCAGGCATCGACACGGAATGTCGGTGATCCGCCTCAAATTCTCGGCTTTTCACGCGTGGCCACTCTGTCGCCTTCCGCTGGGCCTTCACGGGACTTCCTCGGCTCCCGGATCGGCCTAAGGAGGGCTCTCGCCGGATTGGCAAGCGAGCCTTCCAGGAACCACCAAGGCCGTGGGCCATTGCCGGGTAGGAAAAGGCTCACAGTGCGGAGCTTGGTCACAACTCACCGCATGAAAAAGCTTGGCCTCTGCCGGCGATGCCTGTGGAGTCGATGGCCTGAGGGACCAGGCTCATGACTTGCTTGATGCGACGTACTACATCACTTATCGCTTATGCTGAGCCTGGGGGGCTTATCCGTCCTCGCTGAGACTGGCCTTGTCGAAACGAGCCACCGTCAACCATCTGTGCGACCGAACACACATGGGAACCCGACAGCGCCGGAGGATCTGCAGCAGGTGCCTTTCACATAAGTTTTTTCTCTCGCCTTTTGCCAAAATGCGCTGCCGAGCCTCGCGGTCATCGTCCGAGGCGTCCTGAGAATCGGCACGGGACAAGCCATCGCGCGATGTCAGACACGATGCCTCGTCCTCAAAGTCATCGTCCTCGGTGAGAACTTACATCCGCACTGCTCCCCAACTGCAGCACCACACCGTTCCAACTGCCCCCTTACCACCAGCTGCAACCCGACAACTCCGCCAAGTCTCGTAGGCTCCTTCACCCTCGGCCTCCAAGGAAGTCATTGCCTTCCTACAAGCCAGGCGGTCACAATTTCTGTCGTTATGCCAGTGGCAGCATGCGGCCTTCAGCCGCCATGCCAACGAACGGCCAAGGTGGCGTTCGAATTCTGTCGGGGACTCTTTGCTAAGCTAATTGTAGCTCCTGCAGGTCACACCGCTCATTTCCTCAAAGGCGATGGGAGTGCTGAGCAGTGCCGATCCCAAAGTAGCCCTGAATGCTTGTAGTCTCGTGCATGCCTAACAGCTGTTCACTTGGGCCGGGTCTCAGCAGGAAAGGAAGGGTCGAAGCACGTCGAACAGGGCCCAATAATTCGGACCACACATCTTCACCGGACAGCAGCCTGAGAATCAACGGATCATGACCGTGGAAAGTCGCGGGATGCCTATAATATGGGCCTACTTTATGCCAGCCGGCCTTTGAGGCGCGAATCTGATGCGGTTCTGCAATTTTCAAACGAGTTATGTCGTTCATGGCCTTTCTGCAGCTCAGAGGGCAGACAACCCCTTGCGATTGGAGACTTTTTCGCTCTGTTGGACAACCGGTGCCATGTGGTGTCAGACCAACACTGGCCCCGAGCACGCTCGTAGTGCTCCACCACATGGGCTCGATCACCCATTCCCGCAGCTCACGACGATTCGGATTCGGTGCGCCGCAGGAAGGCTGAAACTTTCCCAGAGGCCGGGGCGATGCCCTGGGCTGCACTTGTGCAGAAGCGGGCTCAGCCTTTTTCTGGCCATTCCAGCAAGAACAAAGGCCCTGAGGCCTCCCTTGTAGGTGAACAAAGCCGCTCCTCGCATTCAAGAATCACCCTGGATCTTGGTTTCTTCAGCTGGCCTTCATGCAAGAGATGCAATCTTTTTGACTGTGACACCTCTTGCACCAGCAAACCTCCAGCCGCTGAGTGAAGGCACCAAACTCCCATGAGAGCGCGCTGAGAATTGCAGCATGCAGGATGAATCGGATACGCTTGCGGCATGAACGCCAGGGTCCTGTTGCGGCATTTTCGAGATTAAATAACTGGGCAAGGACTACCAGAAAGGTCGACCCCATGGCCAACAATCTACAAAAGCTCTTAAGGAAGCTCTTACAAAACCCCTGCAAAAACGGCCAAAGGGTGCGCCCATAGAGGCATCCTTGTGAAAAAGCTAAGATGTTCGCAACACCTGGAAGTGAGACAAGATGGGCATATGCCTTGAGACCGGTACGGACAAATTTCTATTTTCACAAGTCTTCACTCTCTCTAACCTATAGGGTTATACGACAGCTGCACGGCCACAAGCTGCCCCCTTCTACAACAATTACACCGTCAATCGAGCTCAGCATCCAACGCCACTACTTCAATAGCGTCGCTGGCTTGCCCGTCACTGAGGCTGTCCAAGCTGTCGCCTGCACTCAATGCAAACTGCTGAGCATTACAGGTTAGTCTTGGGGGGGTGTGGTGGTTGTCTTGCGTGCCAGCTGAGCATCGCACCAATAAACGAGTCCAGTGTTCCATGAACAACCTGTGACATCATCTCCTGAGTTCAGCACATCACGTTGGCAGCCGGAAACAGATTCCCCCCACTCCACCTAATCTGTCGCATGTCGTATGTTAGTGTAGGTACTACGGGCAAAAAGCAAAGGAAAATCCCCTGAAGAGCTGGAACGAATGTGTTGACACCGTCTCGGCTAGGGTAAGCTATGCTGTCCATGCATCGCAGGGTCACCCTGGAGGTCACTTAGGGCATTCCAAAGGTAGATTCATGGGCCAGCTGCACAAGCCACGACAAGCTCTACGATGCGCAGCTCACACAGCCGTCCATGACACTCGCCCCCGCAGAGACCTGTAAATCCAAGAACGTCCAAGGCTGCAGCTTCGATTACTGCTTCGTGAACCTTCTTTCGCTCCGCCTTGCGCAGCCAAACATGGTTTCACCAGAGCCGACATCAGCCTATGTGTTGACATACGGTCTCGCATCGTCTTCTTAGATGGTGGTGGTCGTCATTCTCTATAATCCTTCTCTTGGGCCTCCTTTTCCCAGCGCGTCGCACCAGGACCTCGAGATGCGAACGGAAGCTCTCAGAGGCCTCAAAGAGGCGTCAGTAAGCCTCGACTCGTCTCCGAGGATTCGACGTGGCTTCTCTGGTGGCTGCGATGGTTTCGTAGGCTTCTGGCCTCAGTGTCTGCAGTCGTCAAGTGTTCGGGATTTAGGGCTTTCTGCAGCTGATCAATGAGGGCCCTGCGTGCTTCTGTCTCAGCCTGCAATATCTGCAATGCTGCGAAAAGCTGCATAAAGCATAAATAAATAAATATATATATATATATATAGATATGTACATATATATATATATATGTATATATATATATATATATATATATCTCTATATATATACATATATATCGACCACTCGTTCTCCCTACTACGAGTACGGCGATACGGTGCTTGCCAAGGCCAGGCTGTCCTGTCGACCCCGCTCGCTGCTCCGATCACGGCGCGGCAGCACGTGTGGCCGGCGCCGCCTGGTCACAAGGCAAAAGGCGGCTCAGATGAGGTGGTTCATATCCTCACCCCTCATCGGGCCATCATCTCAAGAAATCGGCTTCTACAAACCTGGACCTAACAGAATTGCAAATTCCTGCTTCATCGCGTGCGCCCAGGGGCATGGACTGCTTGCTTGCATGCGCTCTCGGTGGTCTTTGAGCTTCGCTCCTCATCCAAGCAGGCGGGACGCCCGGCACTACAGGAGCACTGTAGACCTCATCTCCGGGGCATCTTGGACATGTGCTCCCGATTGCATTCTGGTAGTCTAAGAACATGGGTACAGCTTTTCTCTGGCCACAAGTGCCCATGCTGAAGAGTCTTCTGCTAGAAGTGTGAACTAAGACCGCCGCAGTCTCTGCAAGCACTGCCGAAGCGACAGCCTCCATGCAAGCCAAAGTTTGCAGCGACTTGCTGTTCGTTCGGTCAGTATCAAGGCCGCGACCCCTTGCTTGCCTTGGCCAAGACTCGACTTGAAACAGCTCCCGACAGCTCAGCTCTTCTCGAAAGCTGCCAAGCTGCGCGGGGACCGCGGCCCCATAGGCGGTCGAGGCGATGCAAAGGCCGGGTGGGGGTAGGACTGGCTGAAGGCCGCCGCCCGGCCTCGGCACTTGGCAGATCCCTGCTAAGCCAATGATTCTGAAACACTGAGGGCCAAACCTCGCGGTTCAGACACCTGGCATCTCTTTGACCCGATGCTAGGTTTAAGGTCACGGCTTTGTACTTGGGATACACGTGGTGAACTTTTTAGTACTTGAAGATGGTGACTGAAGGCAAATGACACTCAACCGTCCGGTACTTTATGAATCTCAGTGGTGGTGTGGTGGGGGCATGTGGGGGCTGAGCTGCGAATACGCGAGAGCCGGGTTTCCGTCCTGTTACACTTTGGGAGAATCCTCAGCCACCTGCCGCCACTGATTGTAGCAGCAGTGGTTCAGTCGTATGCTCGCGGAG